CGCGAGTCGAGCAGGAGCAACAGTAGCTGCAGCAGCAGCGGCTGCCGGTGGAAGAACGGAGCTGTTGTGGTTGTGGTGCCATGGCACGTTGGATATTGCCTCTTTTCCTGCCTTTCCTCGAGGCTCCTTGGCTTCCGGAATTCCACCGAATGTAGAAGCCTAAATCATTACCCATATGAGTCTGTAGGGTTCCTCATTACCAATGTTTTTCTATGAAGGAGCCCAGAACCCCATTCTAATTCTTAAGGCCCCTACGTTACACTGATTCAGTTAACGACATGCAGACTCTGCATCTTCTCATGCAAGGTTGGCTTATTGGGTTCAGGGTTTAGGGATTCGGGTTTAGGGTTTAGGGTTTAGGGTTTAGGGTCTCCTTCGAGCATGGGTCACCACCTGAAACCTCTGAGTGCTGCACGAAGAATGGCGGCAAGTGTTGCACAAGTCCATGCTTAGAACCCTTGCGGAAAGCCACAGCCCTCCCCCACCAAGGCACAAGCATGGGGTTAGCCCTAAACCCTAAAGGCCCTACCAAAGCCCCTATTTCAATTAGTCAGGCCCCTGTACTCGAAGTTTTTCGGCGAAGCCTTGCCAATTTGGGAGTTCGGAGACTACACACCTCGCAACTCTAGGACCCTGAACGAACTCCAAGAAGACTCCGTGTCCAGCTGTGGGAATCCACTGCGGTAATGTAGGGTAGCATAGTTATACTATACCTACTATATAGTAGGGACCCCCCAAAGTAGTACTGTAATTATCTAGGCCCCTACATTAGGCTTCATGAGACCTTGCCCTCTTACGATCAGAAGGCCCGATCCCACAAGACACATCAAAGAGAAGAAACGACATGTGATGCCCAGGTTGCTTCGTGGAGACATGCTGAGAGGTCGGCCCACACAACATGTAAGAGAGGTTTGTTCCGGGGTTGAAGTTACTGAAGACTTCTGATTATGAGGGAAGTTGTGCACTTTTGCATTCACATGTTGGGATGTTCAATTTGTTGTGCATCCATAACACTAAACCCTAAACCCCTAAAGCCTAAACCCCAGACAAAAGTCTTTCTGGTTACCGCCAGATAACGCAAGACCTTTGCCCAAATCCCCTCTCTCTAAGCTCTCCTGACTTGGTGCGTGTGTGTATATATACATATATATGTAGTTATATTTGAGTATGTATAACAATCATATAATATGGTTTTATATGAAATGATATGACATCGTAGTTCGTCATGACGCCTTATGTTACGTGATGGTATATTTATGTTATGTTATTCTCCATTCTATAAGATTATCTTAAGTTGTATTCTATTACAGTGCAACATATCACGTTATGTGGCACCATGTTAAGTTATGTTCCATTGTACTATTTCCTGCTATATGACATCATATGA